CACAATTAGACACATGCCCGATAGCTGCTCACCTGTTGCCAAGCAGCTCTTGCGAAATCCTTCTCTCTTTTTTTTTTTTGTAATTTACAAATGACTTTTGTTTATTTTTTCCATTTAGCTCTTCGTTTTTACACTTTACACACTTGATTTAAATAAAAAAACAAAAATAATTAACGGCAAAATCGGGCGGCTTTTGTTTGGCGCTGCCAAATGATTTGCATTTGCGACTTTCGCTGTAAACAATTTTCGGTGTCATTTTCAGCGAAATTTTGCGTGACTTTTAAAAGTTTATTGAAAACTTGTGAAGCCCTCATAAATGCTGCCGTGCATTGATTTATAATTTGGCTTAGATCTCGTTGGCTATGCTAAAGGTCGCTTCGCCTGGCGCAGCTGCTGCTGCTGCTGAACACGCGCCCAACTTATTGATTGTTGGCCAATTGCGTCATTTTTTGATGAGCGATTACGATTATGGCAATTTACACGAGACGCTTACAAATTGTGTGCAGCTGCTGCTTCGATGGCATTGAAAACAATTGTTAATTCGAGCCAAAAACTAAATGCCAAAAACCAATAAGTGTGTGCCAATCAAGCGCTGTGCGGCTATTAAATACCCTGCATTCCACTTAATGGGCAACATGTTTGAAAATAACTTGGCGTATGATTTCAAGGCTGCAGCCAAATAATTAGGCGCTTCAAATGAGCGAGGGAGGGAGGAGGAGGAGGGGGGGGGGGTAGGGTAAATCAATGTGAGCCTACGTGTCGAATTCGCTTAGATCGCAGCGCTTGCGGCAGACAGTCGATTGCAGCAAAAATTTGACACCAACTCGTTAAATATGTGTTATTCGAGAGGCCAAATACAAAAATTTGTTAGGCTCAGTTTGCGCAGCGTGCAAAGAGGGAGAGCAACAGGCAAAGAGGCTTATTGGTTTACAAAAGGGTTGAGGGGGGTTTGAGGTACATTATAAATTGACAGCAAGCTGTTAAACGCACAGATATCAGAATCTACATAGCTAATTTGCCAACTCAATTTTATATACAGAGTAAGATTTAGGTTCAGTTTACGCAGCATATAAACAGGCAGACCAACGGGCAAAGAGACTTATTGACTTACAGAAGGGTTGAGGGGGCGTTAGCTGGGTTTGAGGTACATTATAAATTGACAGCTAGTTGTTAAGCGCACAATATTAAATCTACATAGCTAATTTGACAGCTCTAAGGGAGCAAGTTACAAGCATTTTAAAACTTTAAGAAAACTCCAATTTGAATATAGAGCGGAAATGAATATGCTTTATAGGGTCGTCTGTGTCCGCTGCCGCGTATTACACACATGTGCAGCGCTTCAATTTAACCTTTCAACACATGTGTGCATGCTCTGTAGTGCATGACCTCGAGGCATAACGAAAGACTTAGGCAACGAACTTTTAAATGCAAACAAAAACGCAAAGAAGGATACACTAAGACAACAATTGGCATGTGATGTGCTAATTGAAATTTCATTTATTAACAACTATTATTTTTAGACGTGCTGCGCACTTCGCTGTGATTGAAGATAAAGCAACAACTGCATAAATATGCGAATTAATTATTCAGCTGTCAAATATGCTCAGTTAGTTAAATGGAATGTTACAGCTGGCAGCTGTTGTTGTTGTAGATTTTATATAAAAAATACAGCTAAAAGAGTCAAGATGCGCATCAAGGTTTTTTCGTCAGCAAACGAATCTCCAATTGAGCAGCGCCTGCTCTCTTACTCGACTCTATCTCCCTCTCTCTCTCCCTGTCTCTGCCTCTCTCTGTGTGTATTTCTAACCAGTTTGCTTAACCGAAACGTATTCGGCGCCCGCACATTAGACAAATCTGACGACTGGTTTCGCTCCTCGCATTCTCACTTTTTTTTTGTTGTTTCTTATTTATTCTGGGCTTAAAAAATTTTATTGGCATTTCGTTTATTGAAATTCTCTGTTCTAAGTATGTTCATAAAATTTAATATCCACAAGCTTCTATTCATAACTGCGTGGACAGCAGCGATTCACTGACGAATACTTCTAACGCTCACTGTGCTTATCTGTGTATAAGTGTTTGTGTGTGTGTGTGTGTGTGTGTTGTGTGTGGGTTCTGCTGTTCGGTTGTTAGATGCATGCAGATGCCATCCGGTTTGGTTAGCTCTGGCTGCTTTTTGCAGCTGGGGGCTAAGGCACTGGCGTACGGCCCGCCAATGCGGTCCGGCTGCATTCCAGGCATGACTAACAGACACCGAAGAGTTATTACCCTCAAGGTCATTTGTGTTTTGCTCTCAAGTGTTTGGCTATGACTTGCGCTTTATTTGATATCGGCGAATCGAAATTCGTTAGCTTATTTGTAAGTTGAGGTTCGACGTATTTCCAGAAACCGCTCAGACTCGGATTCGATTCTAAGAGCCTGTCAGAGCGTCAGATACATATCGAATGCTTTTGGCGGTTTTGCTAAGCGGCTCTTATCAAAGGCCATAAAAGTGCGGCTCGGGCCGGCAATGAATTTTCGGTTAACAAAACCCACAATTAATTACACGTAGATTCTGTTGGACAAGTCAAGACAGGCTAAACAACTCACAAAGCGGTCAAAAGAGACAATAACAAAAAAACAATCCGCATTTGTATTTAATGAAAGTATTTAAATATCGTCTCTGACTCAGTATACAAAACTTTGGAGCCGCGGACTCAGCGTTTCCTTTGTGATTAATGGACTTACAAGCCAAACACAAGAATTCAGTATTTTCTGCTGTTTTTGTTTTCTTATTTATTATTTTGGCCATTCTTTTGTCTTCTGTGTGTTCTCGTCGTCTTGCGGTTGATTTTTCACTTTGATTTTAGAAATGATCTCATCTGCGACAGCATCCACAGCCCACATTGGATGAGCATTCAATACGGCAATTGTGAAGGCAGAATAATTACTAAAAGCAGCTGTCAACCAATATGCAATAATCAAATCGTATGGCAAAAACATAATTGAAATATCGATGAGGTATGAAGAAAAGGTGTGTCATCATCATATTACAGAGATTGCTTGGAAATTTGAGCTTCTAGAGATTAGAATCCAAATGTTCCATGCACAAGAATGTAATTATACAAAAATTAATTTATCCCCAAGTTAAAATCAAGCCTGTAAATTAATCTTTCTAATAGTGAGGCAAACAGATGCAAATTTCAAAATTTCATAATAATGAAGCTAACAAACACAAATTCCATTTAAAATTCTCAAATGGTTTAAGCTAGCTTTGGCTAAAGGATGTTTTCTCTGTACAAGCGCTCGCCCAACAGGAAAACACCTGTCCGATCTATTTATAGTGCGCAACTTTCAGTACAAAATTCGTTGGGCATTTAATAAGAAAAAAAAGAATCGAAATATAAATAAATGTATGCCTGTGTTCCTGCCAACAATACAAAGAAGAACAATAACTGGCAAATGTGAATTCCTTTGATGCTCACCTTCGAAACGGCAACAGCTGCAAAAATTATGCGATGTAGGCGGCGATAAAATACGAAAAACAAAAACAACAAAAACGCCAAGCGCAATGTTCCAAAGGGTGAGCTGCAGCTCCTGCTACGTTGTCGGTGCGGGTGACGGTGCGGGCGACGGGGCACTGGCACTTGAAGACGAGTCTTGGAATCGCAGAAAAAAAGCTAATCAAAAGTTACGACACGCACGCGCTTGACAGCGGGGGCAGGTAGCCGAGCAACGAGGGGAGGGGTTAGCACACGATCAAAGTCAAAACAATGCAGTCGCGCGGCACTTTGAACGTAGAGTAGTATTACGATCTAAGGTACTGAAGCAACGGTAAGACGGTGTTGCACACTCCGCGCACCCCTAACACAACTATTGATGATCGAAGCACCCACACTCACACTCACACACACTCACGTTTGGCTTGTTTGTGTGCGATGTGTTAATCAATAAAAATCGAATGCGCATCGAATGTACATTTCGCTTTGCTGCATTTTTTGCTAATTAAATACTTTTCGCTTGATTTATTGCAACGGCGCGTTCTATACGGGCCCCACAGTAAACACACGATCAACTACAGTACGTGCCTTGCACAATTCGGCGGCAAACACTAACACAATCACAATAGCTCTGGCGCAGCACACGTCTGTTCCGTAGCACGTCGAAATACTAACTGGCATCGCCAGCTCAAGCCGGACTTGCAGGCATCTGAAAAGTTGTTGAGAGCGCGTGAGCAATAGAGCTGGCAAAGCTCTAATGTTGCCATACTGCAGCTGCTTGCTGTGCAACTGGCGATCTCTTTTTAACCAAGTGGCAATATTAAAAAGTGCTGTTTGAGTGGCAGCACTTAAATCTGCTCAAATTGGCGAACGTCGAAAAGCAAAGGGCACGCAGGCAGAGGGAGAGGGAGCATCTATGTATGAGAAGTACCGTTGAATTTCTTACTCTCAGTATTGTCTACGATATTCCAAAGCGGAACATAAGAATAGAATTCGGAGTCATAATGGAAAACAATGCCAATAAAGGCAGATAATTTTTACACGCAATGATTTCCAGAAGCAGCTATGCGGATCAGATGGAGCAAAGCATTCTGTAGACTTTGATTTCAACTCTATCGTATTCAAAGCTGCAGTAGAGCTAAAGAAATCAATATAAAAATATCTTAAAAGAAACCGACCTAACCTCACTTTTCACCCACAAATTTAGTAAACACCATTAAAATATATAAACTAATTGACAAAATTTTCTATATTTGGGAAACTTACAACATTCGCGTTACAGTAGATCCCCTCTAAGAAAACTCGAATAAGTATTACCATAAAAATTAAAACCAGTCCAGAGGGGAACTACAATTGCAATTAACTTGAAAGCTTTGCAAGTTGAACTGTAACTTTCTCATTGTTATTATATCATACATATGTATAGAATTTGCTTTGTGCACTTTGATGTAAAATAGGTAGAGGAAGTCGGATATAATATATGTTAAACACGTTTGATAAAAGTTTTTAAAGACAATTTATCAATTACTTTACATATTAAGTGACATTTTAATTAACATAATTTGTAGTAATTAATTTACACTGATAAAACGAGTACATAAAAACAAACACAATTTGCAGACTGAAGACAACATTTAATTACTACTCACCCCACACAATATTCTCAATCCAATCTGTGTAGAGGTGAACCTTAGTGTAGATACTGGGCAGACCTCTCGTGCCGCAGATGCGGCCAAAGGAGGTGATGCCAAGAAGCAGCTTCAGGCAATTGTAATGCGGATGCTGCACGAAAATGGGTCCACCCGAGTCGCCGTTGCAGGTGTCGCCGTTGCTGTTGACGGAGCCCGCACAGAACTGGGTGCGCCTTTCTATGACCAGCTCGAGCCGTTCTTCGCACAGATCATCGCCGAAACGCTCGAGGGTTACCTTAAGCAGATGCGAAGATTTCTTGCCCGCATCTTCGGTTAATCCCCAGCCGGCGGCCGTTAGCTGCAGATTCTCATTGCCGGTGCTGGGCGGCAGACAAGCGGGTGCCACATACTCGTTCAAAGTCGCATTCCCATCCAGCTCGATAACGGCAATGTCGTTGGTTAGGTTGCCTTCATCATCGTCACTGTAGAAGGGATGCACCACGTAGTTCACGACCTTAAAGTCCTGCGGCTGTGCATCATCTTCGGTGCTATTGTAATCCAATTCGCCCAGCCGCACCACATATTTGGGCGAATCGAAGTTGGGATCCAAACGCTGCTCCTTTGTTTCAATCGTCACCAGACAATGGGCAGCCGTAACAACGTATTTGGGATGTATTAATGTGCCGCCGCAGTCCCATTTAATGTTCTTTTCGCCCTTCTCGGTGGTGCCAATGAGCGCCATGAACGGAAATTCACGACCTTCTGCCTTGGTGCCGCCCACAATGAACGGCGAGTTATGGCAAGATGCTCTGATATCATTGAAGTGCTTGCATTCTGGAAAGGAGCGGAGTGGAGGATTAGTTGAATTTTTATATAATAACTACTGGTGCTGCTGCTTACCCTTCTCAAAGGGACGAGTAACATCCGCTGGCGCTTGATTTTGCCTATTTAGCGGCAATGGACAGCACACGATGTCCTCAAATTCGTTGCAATATTTGATCTCTTCTCCAATCAGGTGCTGATTATAGAATAAAACTGGACAGTCCGTGGCGGACAGCTCCTTGCACTCGCCAGTGCCTCGATCGCACAGCTCACTCCAAACGCTGCTCGAGCAGACGAGAAGCGTTAAAAGTAAACTACAAAAAGCGTTCATATCAGAAAAGATCGAGTGCACAACTGAACGGCACGAGGTGATCTGCTAGCGGACAAACCTGATCCCTAAGCTGAGCTGTGCTAATTGTGTAGAAATATGTGCATTGTGAATTCCGGACTGCTACTAAACCTATGAATACTTAAATAAATACGTAGAACCTAAGCTAAAGCTAGTTGTTGTTGTTGTTTTAGTAGTATTTTGTTTGCTGTTGTCTAGTTGTGACGCATGCCCATGCTTTGCAAGTGTTGTTGTTGTTGTTGCTGCTGCTGCTGCTGTTGCTGCTGCTGTTGCTGCTGCTGTTGTTGCTGCTGTTGTTGCTGCTGCTGCTGTTGTTGCTGCTGTTGTTGCTGCTGCATGTGTTGCAGGTACATTTGCTGTTGAGCACTGCCGCCGCTGCCCAGTGGCAAGCTGGTGGTTGTTGCAGCCACAGCCGCTGCCTGAGCTTGTTGTTGCTGCTGCTGCTGCTGTTGCTGTGGTTGCAATGGCGACTGATTTGCATTTGTGGTTGAATTTGCGTTGCTGTCAGCGCTATTGAATTATAATAAATACATAAATTTAATAAATTACATTCATTTGCATATAAAGCTTACATCTTCTCTGTGTGTATATCCTCCAGATTTAGATGCGTTATGAAGCGCAAACGCATTTGCAACTGCGGTCGCAGCCTTTTGATTATTGCCTCCGATTCGTTTTTGATAATATTGCCCACGTGTATGTACTTAATGTGATAGCTGCATAAAAGTAAATATCCTTAGTACATATATACATAATAAATAGCTCACAAAATGCTCACAGAAAGTCGCAAATTTGATCCATATACTCCAACGGTTTGGGTCCATGCTGCTTGTCAACATTTTCTAGCATTTCATAGAGAAATATGGCTATGCCCGCGACCGCATTAGGTTTTTCCTGCTCAATGCGCTGCAGAAACGGTCCAAAGACATGGCATAGATACAGCAATTGGTGCTCGGTGCGCACACAGGGCTTCAGTTTCTCTTTGATGTATCTGGTCATGGCTGCCAGCTTGAAGGCGCCCATGTGATGGAACACCGCATGCGCTACTGCCAGCACCACAGCGTAGCTTTTCTCCAGCATGGCCTCCCTCACAGTCTTGAAATTGAACAGTTCAAAGGCATTAAAACGGTATGTCCAGTTGAGCATGTTGGGCGTGTTAAGCATGTCCTGCAGGCGATCGTAAATTGCACTCCAGTAGGGTTCCGGCAGGGCCGCCAGCACAATGCCCACCGCATTGATGTAGCTGTGAATCTCCTTTTGCGGCACCACAGCGTAACCATTGACAATCACATCGATTATGTTGCCCGCAACCACTGAAGGCGCCAAGGGCAGGCCAAGCAGTTCCACGCAGGTAACATATAGCGCATGGGTGGGTGCATTGGGAAACTCATTGAAACGCCAATCGGTGGTATAGAATACGTTCTTCCCGCTGATAGCTAAAGGGGAGAGAGGATTGGGCATTAACAAATGTTTAAAGTACTCGCTGGTTATAGCTCACTGTCAGCCAATCTTCTAATGAGATTCATGTAGTAGCTCAGCTCGGGCGTCCATAAAGCGTCCTGACTTTGCAGATAAACTTTATACGGCTCACTGACGCTCCAGTTGGCCGGACGTATCTCACTAAAAGCGCTTGTTATGGTACTAACCTATATGAAATACAGATTTAACGGTGTTCTTTATACGACTTGGGTAACAGCCTTACCAGCTTCTTTTTCAGCGGCAGGCGATCACGCAGAATGCGCTCATAATAGTGCAACGTATTGTACAGATAGGTAATGGGACGATCTGAAAACAGCAAATAAAAGCTTATGAATGTGCAGCGAGAAGAGGCAGCTGCACTCACCATGAAACTTATAGAGTATGCTCAAGTGATCCAATATGATGCCCAGAATTTGGTGCACATTCGGTATGGTCAGCTCAATGAAGCGATGCACAACCACATCGAGCACTGGCAGAAAACGAAGACAGACATTGCTGAAGTAAACGGGTAGCGGGATTTGCGATGCAGACTCATCCGGCGCAAACTTCTCGGGATAGTTTTGATGAAATTGCAGATGTTTCTCGTGCCTGCAAGCAAAATGTAGAAAAATTTTAGATTCTGTTTGGAATTTGTTTAAAAGACCAATTACCAATTGCTTTGCTTCCAGTGATCGGGATTATTGTCCTTGCAGAATTCCTGCACGCGATTGCGCAGCTCGGAGGCTTTCAGCAGCAGCAATTGAATTATGATCAAACACACCTGCGCCTCGTTACCCTCATGCGTGCGCAGCGCCAGGCAAAGCACCAGGCGATCAATGGTAACCACATTAAACTTCCAGATCATGTTATTGATGGTATCCACACATTTGTGTATAAAGTCGCGTCCATCCGAAGAGCTGGCGACCTCGGCGACCAGATAATCACAGAATTTGCGCAAGTGTGTGGACAGGGCACGTGCGCTAATCCCTTCTAGAATTCTAAAAGGCGATTGATTAATTAAAGGACTGTTTTACAGGGGGCAGTGCCTCACTTGTATGCCACGGGACTGATGCTCTCCGTTTCCCATATGATTTTAAAAAGCAAACACAAGAACAACGGATTTGTGTTGGGCCTTATAAAGTGGGCAATGATGTCGTTCTCATTGGACATGGATGTCCAATTGCGATACTCCTCCTCCACGGACTTTTTCAGCTGCTGTTTGTTCTCCGCCGGATGATTGTTCTGTGTAAAATACTCGTTGAGTGCGGGCGGAAAGCAGGCCAGCGATTGCATTGGCCATGAATGCGGCGTGTGTTGCATTATGTTGGACAGAAAATCCTTGCACCAACCGGCCAATTCATCGCCGCCGCCATGAACATGCATCGAACGCGCCAGAGTCAAGATGAGAACACGATTTAGCTCCTCGCTCTCATTGGACGCAACGCCACCAGGCGACTTATCATTCAAATAGCGCGAAAACTGTGACTGAAACTCGGCGGAGCCAATGCTGGTTATCAAACGCAAAGCTGTAGACTCAAAGCTGCGGAAAAGGCACGATTAATAGGGTACTGTAGAAAGTATTTTAATAAACCAACTAACCATAGATTTAATTGCATTTTATTGGTCGGCGGCACTGAGGAGAGCGTGTAGAGCAGTGAGAGCAGCTGGACGCGATAGTGTGTGGGCACATGGTGCAGGCGATAGGAGAACATTTCCATCAGCGTGTGCAGCATGGCCCAGGCCTGATTCTTGAAGACTGTTGGCAGCAGTTGGGCTATAAAGAACACATATGCACATAGAATAAGCTATTAAGTTAACATTTATCTTATCTAGCTTACTCAGAAAACCTTTAATGCCCAGCGACTCAATCTCAGTGTACACCAGCAATCTGGCATAGGTTTCAATGAGCGCCGGTGCCGGGACCAGCGTCTTGCTCTGCGCCTGCTTCAGCATTTGCGTAACAAAGCTGTGTATTAGCGACATTTTGCTGTGCACCGTCAGGCTGTCGAGCACTGAAACGGAATAGGTAACTGCTGGTATCGGTGTGCCATTCGCTGACTTCGCATTCCCATTCATGGCATCTAGCAATACATTCATGTGTCGCGCAAAGTACTCCTGATTTGTTGAGTATGCATTGCAGATGAGTATAATGCGGAAATCATTGCCCAACGTGACGTTCATCATGCTATTTGGAGCGACCAGATGCTGCAGAAAGCTGCAAGAAATATTTGTTTATAAAAAAGAATTTAATCAATAAAGATATAAAGTACGCACTCTTGATGGTTTTTAAGGGCAATCGGCAGCGGTCGTGTTATGTTCATATTTTCCACACGCGCCTTTTTCATTAGATGTATCCAGATGCAGATGGGCGCCATGTGACGCACCAGGGAAGACTTGTTGTAGTCGGGCAGCTTGAGTGGCTCCTGTTCCGGATAGAGAAGATCAAAGAGTCTGAACACAGGCAAAAAGTTGGTGATCTGCGTAAAAGAAGTAAATTGAATTCATAAGTTATAGTCATGGATTGTCCAAGTTGGCCTACTTACGGGATTCTTTTGTATGCTGCCTGAGATGAACTGCAGCAGTATCCACATAAGCTGATCACGACCCTTGCGCAGCTCCAGCTTCGATAGCTTCTCATGCAGAGCCAATACAATGTGCATAAAGCTGACAAATTGAAAGAGCACAAAGTAAATCAGCTGTGAGGAGAGATGCAGCCACACCCATTCGTTGGGTGAGATTTGTTCGTCGGTAGCATTGAAGCCACTGCCCGCAGTGGCATCATTCGATTCAGTCATTTCCATGGCATGTATTATCAGATTGACCAGCTGCTCCTCGAGCGCATTGTAGCGCTGCTTCTGATGCTTTTGCAGATTCAGCATGACTGAAACCATTTCGCGCGAGTACGGCTGCTCCAGCACATAGCGCAACAACGGCGTCTGATCCTCTAGCAATTCAGGCTCATACGGCAGGCTGCCCTTAAAGTTGAACTTCAATGTGTTGTGATCCAGTCGCCAGGAGTTCATCAAGTGATCCGCATAGCCAAAATGTTCCACAATGGGCAGCATATTTGCGTGGCCAATGATCGAAACCATTTGCGCTGTAGCCCGGAATTCCTCAACAAAATCAGTCATCAGTTTGTTAAGTTTCCAGTGATAGGGAAATGGCCGCATTATTTCATTGGCTATGAAGTAGGCGGGCAGCAGGCAGTTGTTACGATCGAATATAAAGCGTATGATTTCCTCCACGGCGAGCAATTGGGGTAGATATGTGACGTTGACATTGAGTGGAAACCATTGGGCCTTGTCGCGACACGCCTTCATGATCTCACGCACGCCCTTATAGTCCACATGCGCGATGACCTTTTTGATCAGCCGAAAACTTTCGATCCAAAAGGTTTTGCGCTCATAGTCGAGTTTCTCGCAGGACAAAACTTTGTCGCACAGCATTCTATAATTGTACGCATATCAATATTGATATATCATATTGCTTATAACTCACCCACCTTGCCGTAATGAGATGTGCATCCA